AAGTTTTTTAACAACAGATGTAATAGGAAGAAAATTGTTGGCTTGTAACTTGCTGATGGCACTACTACTACAAATACTCAGCTGATCAAGGAGGAGGCTCTCAACTATTTCAAATCCATTTTTGGTAGGGCAACTAGCAGCTACTCAGGTATGGATGCTCTTAAACTTGTTTACATGAAAACTATTCCATAAAACTTCATTGCTCAATTGAGTTCCATCCCTACTAATGAAGAGATCATGAAGTGTTTTTTCTCTCTCAAGAGTAACAAGTCTCCAGGGCCGGATGGATATAATGCATATTTCTACAAAAAAGCTTGGCCTGCTATTGGTGTTGATATTGTCAAGGCTGTGAAGGAATTTTTCTTAACTAGTCTTTTACTTAAATAGATTAATGCTACTTATTTAGCTCTTGTCCCCAAGGTGCAACATCATAACTGTATGGGTGACTTCAGGTCCATTCCTTGTTGCAATACTATTTATAAGGTGATTTCAAAGTTACTTGTTGATAAGCTTAAGCTTGTTCTACCATGCTTTGTGGATAAGAGTCAAACTGCCTTTATAAAAGATAGAAGATTAGGGGACAGTATGTTTTTGGCTTAGGAATTAATAAAAGGGTATCATTCTAACTCCAACAGCCCTAGATGTACACTAAAAGTTGACTTGAAGAAAGCTTATGACACTGCCAATTGGACCTTCTTCTTGCTGGACACACTTCAAATCCTCAACTTTTCTCATATTTTTATTAATTGGATCAGAGCCTGTATTATAAGTCCTGGGGTCTTAGTTTCCATTAATGGTGAGCTCTATAGGTTTTTTAAGGGTTCTAGAGGCTTGAGGCAAGGTGATCCTCTTTCCCCCTTCCCTATTTGTTATTGTGATGAATGTCTTATCTTTTATCATACAACAAGTTTATATGTAATAATCACAATTTCTTATACCACTGGAAGTGTGAGAAGACCAAATTATCTCAATTAATGTTTGCTGATGACCTTATATTCTACTGCCATGGTGATATTCAGTTCTTCTTTGTCATTACTAAATCTCTTACAACATTCTCTGAGTTATCTAGACTCTTTCTTAATCTTTCTAAGAGCTTGGTGTTTACTACCAATGTGCCTGAAGTCATTCAACAACAATTGATCAACAGGTATGGTATTGAGTTGGGGAGTCTTCCTATTAGATACTTGGGGATGCCCTTAAACTCTATGAGACTCGGTGCTACAGATTGCAGAATCTTAGTAGAAAGAGTCATAACTCGAATCAAATGTTGGACAATTAGATTTTTATCTTATGCAGGTAGGCTGCAGCTCATAAAATCTATCCTCTTCAACATGATTAGTTTCTGGTGTGGTCTATCAATCCTCCCTAAAATGGTTATCAACCAACTCAACACTGTCTTAAGGAACTTTATTTGGACTAGAGTTAATGTGAAAGCTAGTAGTGCTTAAGTTGCTTGGTGGAATGTTTGTAAACCTAAAGACTTTGGGGGTGTAGGAATACCTGCTCTTAATCGTATTTTCATGCTGAGACATATCTGGAACCTGTTCAAAGATAGAGGTTAATCCATTTGGTTTGAATGGGCTCCTGAAAACCTTATAAAAAATCGCAGTTTCTGAATTTTGAAGCCTCTTCAGGTGTGATCTTGGAATTGGAGGATGCTCCTCCATCTTAGAGGGCTTGCTAGACCTTTTATCAAGTATCTGGGGAATGGAAAGGATGTCTCACTGTGGCATAATTACTGGCTCCCATTAGGTCCCCTTGACACCAGAATTGGCCACAACCTCATTGCTTACTCTTAATGGGAAGATTGGGTGAAAGTCTAAACATTGATTAGGCATGATCAATGGAGACCTCCTCGGATTTTCAGAGATTTAGTTCCATCTATTGGGACTACAGAGTACCTTCCTGAACTGAGTGTTGGGTCTCAAGACTTTGTTGTTTGGACCCTCTCTTCTACGGGTAGCTTTCATTTTGCTACTACCTATAGAGCTCTCATTTCACCATCTTCGGTTGTCCTGTGGCACTCGGTCGTCTAGTTTTCAAAGCATATTCCACGATATTCATTCATTACGTGGGTTGCTCTTAGTCATAAGCTCAAGACAAGGATAGTCCCACTCTTACAAAGAAAATTGCCCTAAATTATTGTTCATTGTGTTTTGCTGCTGCTGAGACTCACTAACATCTCTTCTTCAAATGCAAATTTGCTTATAAGATTTGGATGTTTTTCCAATACCTCTATGGTATTTATGTTGGAGACTACAACTTATATGAGATCACTAATTGGATTGTGTCAATGTGGAAGGATGGTACCAAGGCTTCAGAGGCGTATGTATTCAAATTATGTCTTACAACTTAAGTATATTTCATCTGGAATGAGAGGAATAGGCGGCATGCCTTGAACCAAATGGCTTCCACTACTGCAGTCACTAAACTGATTTACAATAATGTGAGGAACCGTCTCATGTCTTACAAGCTGAAGGATTCAAGGTCTGCGAGGTCTATTGCTGCTGCGTGGAGTTTGCCTTCCTCGGTCTTTCATTGAGATCACTGGGGGTTTGCCTTATGTTGCCTTTGCAACTTTTTGTCCCTATTTCTCGTTGCTGTTGCAACGTTTTTTCCTTTGTTGCCTTTGGGCTGTGGGCTTTTGCCCTTCCTTAGTTTAGTTTTTGCTTTTGCTTTTTAATGAATTGATTTACCAAAAAAAAAAAATTCATCATTCAATAGTTTTGGGCCATAGGTTCATCCAAGGGTGGAGCTAGAAATTTTACTTTGGGGGCGTTGAAGGAAAAAAAAAAAAAAAAAAATGATGCTAGCCAAGTGCACAGACTCCCATATATCATTGCGAATTGGGATAAAAAAAATACTACTGTACAATTAAAAATAAAAAAAATTATAAATCAATAACATTATAAATTTCTTTATAATATCATTCTTATTAGTATATATATTGAAAAAATAAAATAAAATAAAATCAAAGAATAGAAAAATGAGCCTAAATAAGTAGGTATGAAAATTGATATGGAAAAAAAAGTTACATTTATTTATGAATTCATAACTCTTAAGACAACAAATAAGTGTTAGAAAATTTTTGGGGGGGCCAATTGAAATTTTATATGAATTTTGGTGGTTCCAATTAGGGTATTTAAATTAAATAATTATATTTGTGGGCGCGACCCCCTCTAGCTCCGCCCCTGGTTCATAATTCAATAGTCCTTTCGACAGAAGTATAAGAAAGTGGTTTTTCCTTAGTTTTTAGGAATTTTTTTATGTTTTTATTCATTTACTGAGAATGATCCATTAAAAAGTTTTGAAGATCAATGAATAGGAAGTTGCTGTAAGGTTTCAATTGTGTCCAAAGGCTACCGGTACAAGGTTCTCCTACTGGTTCAAGAATGCAAAGTAGCAAAGCCAACCTTTTGTTTTAAATTGAGCGAAGGGGAAGGAATGAACTATTTTACCATCTTTAGTGACACCATGGCTCTCCTCTGGGGGTGGGGGGGGGGGGGGGGGGGGGGGTGTGTAATAGATATAAATAAATAATTAGGGGTGAAACATGCTGAAAATTGTACTCTTTTTCAATTATTAACAAATGAGAATTTGGAAACTCCAATTCTTCGACTCAAGATCCTTCCTGAGACTTCCCAAAATTCAATGTGGCACCTCCTTAAGGGTGGAGAGCAAATCGGTACAAGAAGTACACTGCTTCTAAATCGTTTTGGCAGTCGATTGCCAATTGTTTACATCTTGCGTCTATAAATATGATTATGGGACAAAATGCAATCTAATTAGATGAAATCATAACATACAATATATATATATATATATATTGTACCTTATCACTTCTCAAACCATCAACGCACCATTCCTCGTGTGATCATGTGAAAGGGAAACGATTTTTGCAGTACTCCTCCTCCTCGGTAATCAGCTTGGTGACGACTATTAATATTTAAAACAAATTAATGATAGCCTCAACAAGGACTATCCCACAATCAAGCTAAGATAAATGCACAATAAGAGTTCAAGAGTTCAAGATACGCTCACAAAAGATCCAAAACACAATGCCGTGATCCCAATGCTTGCCTTTCTTTCAATCAAGTACCTAATTGCACATGGAAACAATCATAAGAAGATTGCTTGAAATGGTTCCTAAACTAACAATCAAATGAACACTAATATTAAATTCAATTCCAATAAGAAGGAACGATAAAAATGTAAGCGGAACGAGGGCTACCTTGAATCCACATAGGTACCGTAAATCTACAAGGAAGAAAAAGAATTCGCAGATGAATATGTTAATATATATATTAATAATTGAATTATTGATCTGCTCTGCAGTACATGTATTTATAATTTATAAATAAAAACCAAAACAACAAAAATGAAACCCTAAAAACGTAAGGAAACTTGTAACGTAAGAAAAATGCTCAAAAACAAACTTACTTTCAAAATTCTGTAAATACAAAGATAGAAATCTAATTACTAAAAACTACTAAATACCAAAAAAAAAAGCAAATCGAATCCATTTAATCTTTTAACGAAAATCTCGAAATATTCAAGACGGGGAAACGCAATTCCTAAACTTTAAATGACTAAATTCAGCTAAAAGGCGGCCCTACCTTAACCATATATGCAAGTTGGGCCATACATTTCTATGATACTACACTCAATAAATATATATAAATAAAACTTATATTTGTACATAATGGGTACCCGTGTTTTGCGTTTTTAAAATTTGACTTGTCGTATCATGTCTTTATCAACGCTACCTATATGTTTTGTGATTTATAAAATGTTTATATATCCATGTATATGTATATATTATATTTAACCACTAAAGAGACACACTTGTCATGTGATCGAATAAATTAACAATACTTTAATGGTCATGTAACTTTAAAAAATGTTATCGAGATTTAAGATGGTTCAACAGGGCAAGTAACCTCAAACATTATATATAGCAGCCTTGTTTTCTGAGGAGATGCACACAGACTTCTAGCAGTTGAAACACAAAGAAATCTATATTTTACTCAGACATATTAAAGCAATGTTATTCAAATTTTTATTTTACTCCCTTCTTCCCTTGTTATTCTCCTTAGTGTTCCTTCTGAAATGGTTGTCCACACCAAAAACAAAAAGTAATCTACCACCTTCTCCATCAAAACTCCCAATTATTGGAAATCTCCACCAACTTGGATTGCTCCCTCATCACTCCCTCCAATCATTAGCTCAAAAATATGGCCCCCTCATGCTGCTTCACCTCGGCAGCAAGCCAGTTCTCATAGTCTCCTCTGCTGATGCAGCTCGCGAAATCTTTAAAACCCATGATCATGCCTTCTCAAATAGACCTAAATCGAGCATTGCCAATAGATTATTCTATGGTAAGGATGTCGCTTTTGTTCCTTACGGAGAGTATTGGAGGCAAATGAGAAGCATTTGTGTGCTTCAGCTTCTAAATAACAGGAGGGTTCAGTCTTTTCACACTGTGAGAGAAGAAGAAACAAACCATATGATGGAGAAGATCAAACTGCAGTCTTCTTCTTCTTCTTCTTCTTCTTCTTCTTCACCAGTGAATTTGACTGAGATGTTTATGTCACTCACGAATGATGTGGTGTGTCGTGTAGCCTTCGGAAAGAAGTACAGTGGAAGGGAAGGTGGTAAGAAGTTAAAGGCATTGTTTGCAGAGTTTATGGAGGTGTTGGATGTTTTCAGTGTAGGGGACTATATCCCATGGCTTGCGTGGCTAAATCGTGTCAATGGTTTGAATGCTAAGGTGGACAAAGTTGCTGCTGAGCTTGATAAATTTATGGAGGGTGTAATTGAAGAGCATATTGATCGTCAGCAAAGAGAGAGCAATGGTGGTACGAATGTTGAAGATGGAGGCCATGAGGACTTTGTTGACGTTTTACTAAGAATTCAAAGACAGAACACGAGTACTGCCTTTCCTCTTGACAAAGACGGCATTAAAGGTGTAATCCTGGTAAGTCCAACTTTATCTTTACCTAAAATTCAATCACACACTATAATGAAATTATCTTGGAGCGATTGAGTTTTGATAGTGTTTCCAACTGATTGTTTCTTTGGAAAAAAAGTAGGACAATTTCGTGAGAAACACAGCTTTGAAACTGTTCTTTTAAGCAACAATATTGATGCAATATCTATGGTGAATAGTGAATTGCACAATACGGAATGATCGAATGTGGAATATATAATATACATAAGCAACCTAGAGGAGGTGGTCTATAGGTTCAACTTGCAAGCAAAAATTAAATGCAAGTAAAAAGTACAGTCAGAGTGACTCTGTTTTTAGCAAGGAAAATTAGTTAGAGAAAATCATCCAAATATGGGAAAATTAGTCACATATTGTCGAGCGAAAAGATCCACTATAAATAGATGAAGCAAATTACAATGGCCTTCGACTCAAGCTCATACCCTTTCACTCACTCTACTAAGAACCAATCGCTAAACTTCTTCGGCTTTGCAATTCTCCCATCCAATAACACTTGAATTAAGGCTTACTCCTAGATTCCTATAGAAGTGATTGTTGGTAGATCAACAAGCACTCCACGAACACCTTGATCATTTCAAAGTGTGACCTATTCCTACTTTTCTTCAATTCAGAATTTTTGAAGTAGAAAGACAGATTTCTTTTGATGACCAGTAGCAATAAGATCTTCAATCATTCAACCTTCGATCAATTGTAGAACAACAACTTAAATCACTCAAGTGTATAGATGTGTGCTCTCAAAAATAGAAAAATAGTCTTTTACGAAAAACTCACACGCAAGGCTTTTTAGGGTCTTGGAATATTCAATTGCAAAGCCGTAATGAATTGCGTATGGAAAGAGTTTATATAGATGTTTAGAGACCTCCTAGGGTTAGAAAGCCTTTACAATTACAATTTCGTGCTAAAGCATCGCTCTAAATCAAACTTAAAAAGGTAATTGAATTTGACAAAACACTCTCTCCTTTTCTAGCCTAGAGTTCAACCGGTTTTGTTTGAAAGTTCAACAGTTGGACTTTTCCTGAGGATAGTTTTAACGCAGAAAACTCAACCGGTTCTACTTTGAGATTTAACCGGTTGGAAACGTCCTGAGAGTGATTTTCTTGCAGAAAGTTCAACCGGTTAGACTTCAATCAAACCCTAAAAACTCAAGTGGTCCTCATACACTTACCTTGGCTAAATGTTGTTCTTTGATGAATCGAAATAAGCATGAATATCTTCACTTGATTTTTCTACTTCCGAAACCGAGACTCAAATATAAGCAAAAATTTACAACTCAATTTGGACTTGTTTTGATCACCGAAATTTGCCAATTACATTTTTATACTTCACATGAATAACTTTGAGCACTGGAGTGAGTCACAAATTTTAATACGTATGATTGAATTTTTCAACTTGTAACCCACCATTGTTTTCTTGTAGGATATGTTTGCTGCTGGAACTGATACTCCATCGTTAGTCCTAGAATGGACGATGACGGAGCTCTTAAGGCATCCGAAAGTGATGAAAAAACTGCAGAATGAGGTGCGAAATGTAGCCAAAGGCAAAGAGGACATAACCGAGGATGATTTAGAGAAAATGCACTACTTGAAAGCAGTGATCAAGGAGTCTATGCGATTACATACTCCACTTCCATTACTAGTTCCCCGAGAATCGATTCAAGATGTCAAAGTAATGGGCTACGACATTGCAGCTGGCACACAAGTGTTTATCAATGCTTTGGCAATTGCGAGAGATTCGTCAGCATGGGAAGGCTCTGAAGAGTTCCAGCCTGAAAGGTTCTTGAAAACTTCAATAGATTTTAAAGGGCAGCACTATCAATTTATTCCATTTGGAGCTGGGAGAAGGGGTTGCCCTGGAATCTTATTTGCCATGACTCTTGATGAGCTTGTATTAGCAAAGCTCGTGCATAAGTTTGATTTTTCATTGCCTGGTGGAGCAAAAGGCAAAGATATGGACATGACTGAAGCCCCTGGTATAAACATCCACAGAAAGCATCATTTGCTCGCTGTTGCAACTCCAAGTTCTTGCTAGTCTGCATATTAAGTACTTAGTAGATGAAAATTTGTACTACGTACTACTCGTTTCAAAGCTCTTATTCTCTATCATCAGTATAAATCTAATCAGCTTTATGTAAAAGTAGCCTTTAGGGGTTTGAAGCTTACTTACATGTCCAACCCTTGTAAGTTAAAGCAATAAATAATTCAACTTGCTGCTGGCATGTTATATTAAGTGTAATCCAAAAATAAGGACAGAGTAACAATGTTAAATATTAATAGTTTTCTAATATTTATTTCTTTCATTTTTAGAGTAAAATAATGTTTTAATATAACGTAACGTTGGACATTTGTGACGTAAGTAAAATCTATGAACGTTTTTGAATGAACGATAAACAACATTAAATTAACAAAATTTTTAAAAATTGCATTAATTATGTATTATAATTAAAAAATTGAATTCTGCTTTTGCATAAAACCAAACAATATAAGGAAATTAATAGCAAAAAGAAACCTAATAGTAAAAGAAAACATATTCTTCAAGCAAATTAACTAGAATTAAACTTGTTATAAAAAATGAATAAGAAACCTAATTAACAAAATTACTAAATAGGAATAAACTGTCCTACATACATCAATTTGTATATGCGTGAGGTTTACCTTGTAGTCATAAGTTCAAAGAGTCAGTGGTGGGAAGGATTCATTTCCACCAAAGAAAAAAAAAACCTTTGGACAATTGCAATTCACTATTTTTGCATCAATAATAAATAAAATTAAATCATTTAATGGGAACTCTATGTGCAAGGGCATGTTTAACGAACACATATCCCATGCCCACCTTTGAGTGTCTTAAGTTCAACACCGGAGAAATTGAATGGACTCTACATTTTATTGAAGAGTTCTGATCATTTGAGTTAGACCACATAGTGCAGGATAGTCTAATAATTTTTCACAACCCAGGTGCCACACACTTTTAACCCATAAACATTGGGTGGAAGTAACCCCTCAATTTTTGAAAAACTGAATAGCTTAAAAGGAGTACTATAAAGAAAACAAAAGGTGGGAAACTACAATAACCAATAGGTACCTTGTGCTCTTTAATATGGCACATCAAACAATAAAGATTAGGGTTTCAACGAGAACAAAGAAAGATTAAGCAATAAAACAGGATGTATAATGATTTTTTTCCCCTATGTACATAGAATATATATATATATATATATATATATATATATATATATATATATATATATATATAATCACATTACCCTGCAATAAAATGAGTTTTATCTCACCACTGAGCTTCTAGGTGAAAAGTGGTATATCCTCCTAATTGCATAAAAGATTGAGGGTTCATTTTAAGTCTCCTTAGAGGCAGTACTGGTTTGTGTGTAAGTAATTTACCAATGAATTTTATTTCTAACAAGAGCTACCCTTAAATAAAATAGGCTTAGAAATAGTGGAGAATTTAATCCAAGTAAGAGATTTATAGGGAAAAAAGGAAAGAAAGAAGGTGAAAATAATCAAGTTTAGTTACTTTATTTTTTCGGTAAATTAAGTTTATTTACTTGTTTTCACTATGTACGTAGAATATATATGAAAAATTACATTATGATTACTACTATATTCTCAAATCTTTACCCTACAATAAAATGATTTTTATCTAACAACTACTGAGCTTCTAGCTGAAAAGTGGAATATCCTCCTAATTGCATAAGTCTCGTCTCCTTATAAGCAATACAGGTACGTAAGTAATTTACCTATTCAAAAACCGAATTTTATTTCTAACAAGAGTTAATAAATAGTGGAGAATTTAATCCAAAGTAAGAAAATTATAGGGGAAAAAAACAGAAGGGAAAGAAATAAAGAAAAAAGAAGTCTAGTTACCCAAAAATTATAGGGTTTTTATTTATTTATTAGAAGGTAGAAAGTTGAAGCCTTTCCAAAGATATTGTGACGATCTCTGTAGGCGGGTGCGAGACATTGGGCGAGCTACCACACTGGCAAATTACGAATATTATAATCCCACATCACCTGGGAAAGGTGAAGGTAAATTGCTTTATGTAAGTTCAACACTTTTCTATGGCACAACGCATTTTAAAGTCGTAATGGCTGTGAATCCATACCAGAAGTCTGGTCCGGGGGAGCCAAAAGCTAGCAATTGTGTCGGGTAGGGTTAGGGCTGTTACAAATGATATCAAAGCCGGATCCCAACTAGAAGTGTAGCTAACGATGACCTTGAGCCCCATGAGGGGTGTGATGTGACGACTCCTGAAGGCGAGTGTGATGTGAGTGAGTGTGAGAGCCACTGGGTAAGTTACCACATTGTCAGGCTATGGGTGTTATCATACTAGTCACATCGCGACATTTTAAAGCTATGATGGATGTGAACAGACACTGATGTACTGTAGGCTGCCCCCATTGAAAATTTTTATTATTACATTTTCACCCCTAAATTTATACTTTTTTGCATTTATACCCATAAAATTTTAAAATTGCCCCCACTGAAATTATGACAAAAACTCTCTATATAAATTTGACCCCCCCCCCCCCCCCCTCTGAATTTCTCGATCCATACCTGGCTACGAACCCATTAGAACTTCCCAGTTAAGCTTATAAGTAACAATTAACAATTGCATGAGAATAAAATTCATTATGAAAGGAGGATCATATATTAGGTGTAAGTCTTATTAGGTGCAAGTTTGATAAACAAGAAGTGCCTATTGCCTCTGTTGGTCGACAAATTTTAAATAATTAAATAAAAATTCTAAACTATTATGAGATCTATGTCCTTGAGTGATGTATAACTCATTGCCGAACTTATATGGTCGGTTTGGAATATTAGAAGTCGTTTGGATTGTTAGAATTCCCAACAGGCATGCTGACACATTTTTCAAAAGTGTTTCGACCAGTTCGTTTTGAGTCGAGAAGACCCGATCTATTCCAGATAAAGAACGGGCCAACAATCAATACTCACCAATTGTGCTTGTGATATGCACTATTCTAATAGAATTCTATTGTTTAGAGTCCCAAAATTGCATTTTTTAAGTCATAGGAAGACTTAATATTTTAAACCCCAAACCCCTCACCCCCCCAATTTTTTGTTTTATAGAGAAAGTGTCATTTTGAGCTTAATTTTTATTTTCCTTATGATGTTAGGTTTCCTTATGTTTTTAAGTATTCATTAATTAATAATGTTTTTAGATATTTTAATTTTAATTTTTGCTTATAATTTATGTATTCAAAGTTGTTCATTCTTCATTAACGGACACTAACTGAGATGGTATAAGCTTTCCTTCCAAAATGGGGAGGTTGAGTGTCCAAGCCTCGGTAGAGGCACAATATATATAGTGGGTGTGTATATTTGCTTGATTTGTGCAGTAAATGTTCAAAAGTTTTGCTCTCTTATAGAAGATAGATAGTAACATGGCTTTTTTCAATGGATCAAGATCCCCTCTTGTTCAGGGGGTATGTGATCTTGTCTTATGCCTCAAAATGCTATAGTTTTTTGGCATAACATACATATTAATCATTATATTCTCCTCTTTCTCCTTCGATCTCTTCGGTGACTCTTTTCTCTTAACCTCCTTTACAACCGTCCTCTAACCATAGCCGCCACCACCTATCAACCTCCTACCACCACCAACCCCAACCATGGCCACCAACTCTCTCCACCACCCTCCAATCACGACTGTAATGACCCGGATTTTTCGGATAAATTTTTCCGTTGTCTTTTCCCTTCTGAGTTTGGTTTCTTGTTGATTAGTGTTGTCTCGAGTGCTCTGGAGTGATTTTCGGGACTCTTTTTTATGGATTGACAACTTCATTTGAGGACCGAGTCATTCCCACATTTTTCGTTTTTCGACACTATTCACTTTTTGTCTTTTTCCCTATTCCGTCTTTTCCTCATTTGTCATTCTGATTGCGTAACCACACTTCTTATGTTTAGAGTTGGTTTCTGACTTCACATATCTTCATTCCCAATGATTTCTATGTGATACGTATCTTCACTTTTGTGAGAAAGTACTCTAGTTGCTCCCGGTGTCCATAGGGGCATAAATGCAAAGTTTTTTGGAAACTTTTTCTTTTCTTGGGGTGTTTTTCATAAATATCTTTTGAAAATATTTTATTTCAGGGGTATCTAAGAAAATATCTTTTGGAATATATTTTCATTCTGGGGCAGTTTCGCAGTTTTCACTTTTTGGAGGGGTCATTGTGCAATTAATGAAAGTTATTGCTCAATGCCTTGTTTTGAGCTTGGGTCCTCATATGGGATTTATTTTCACATTTCGTCGAGTCGTGGACTTTTAGAATTTCCTCCTGGACGATGTTTTCCAGTTTCAGGGTTTCTGGCCCCGATTTGCGCCAAACTTGTTTTGGGCATAACTCTCTGCTCGGGACTCGCTTTTCGACGCTATTTCTTCCATTATTCATATTTTCTCATTTGGAATCTTTTTTGTTCATAGAGTTTTGCCGTTTGAGTACGTCTGCTCAGATTTCACTTTTCCGGACCCGGCGGGGCCTATTCGGGGCACTTTTTGAGTTTTTCTATAAATAGGAGATCTTAGAAAGAAAAATTAGATTTTTTTCTCTCTCTCTTCTCTCATGGCCGGTTCAAGCTCCATCCATGGCTGCCATCTTCTCTCTCCTATTTTGGACTTTTTCACTTCATTAAAAAGTGGTGATGCCTTTGTGTTTATTGTTCCCCTCGGCGAGGCCTTCGATTCCAACCGATTGGAATCTCATTTTGGCCATTTCTTGAGTTCGGGTTTGAAGTCAAGTTATGTTTTCGATGGGGCTTCCTTGAGATTCATGTTCGTGATGTTGTCCCCGACAAAACCTAGGAGTTTCGTCGGATTCGCAACCGATTTATTTTGGTAGGGATTTGAGATTTGATCTCAAATGGAGGTAGGGAATGTTTTAGGCTTTTGTGTGTGTTGTATTGAGTATTTAGCATGATTATACAACTTATATATGTGCCTTATATCAAATCTAGAAAGTTAGTAATTTTTAATTCTTTGTATAAGATTCAAAATTCATGATGATATATAATTTTGATTTAAATTGTGGCATGGTAGAAAATCTTGTTTTAACATGTTGGTTAACATATATTAAATTTGAATTAATTAAATAAGAATTGTTCTTTTTAATTAATATTTATCTTTTGTGAAAGATTAAAGTTCATGGCCGTACCTTACATGAAATTGAGTTGTATTATACTTCTAAATTAAGTTTTGGTATGTTTGTTAACATACTTTAATTTGAGAGCATTTGGTTGAGTTTGAAAATTTA